TATATCGAATGGAAAGACAAATGGAATGACAATAGAGGTCAGGTCCTAACAAAAACAATAGAAATCATATTTTAATGAATTATGCAAAGTTCAAGATAAACCAACAAGCTTACAATTACGGAAAGTTATGAAAGTTCATCTTCAACATGAACTAAGTCATTAATTTACACTATAACATTATCATGAAGAACAATTACATGAAATTATGAAAGTTCATGCGTGAGATGAATCACATCATGTAAGAAATTTTGATTGTTTAGTTTCAAATCCTACAAAATCGACAACTTGAACATCAAAACAAATATGAAATTGCAGGTTAATCGTCAACATCGACCAAAGCGTTATCATTATGAAGATATTCGTCCTGCTCATCGATTATTCAACGTTACCAAGGTCAAGCAAATATTAAAATCAATGAAAATATTTTATACTATTACTATTATGGTGAAGCATACATCTTTTATTGACTTAAAAAAAATCAAACAATCATTGATGAAGTTGAGTAATTATGACACAATCGACTTTTTACAAAACAACATAATTATCTTTTATGCAGGCAATAGATAATTTATTTTTCTTTTGTTGTCTTTGTCTTTGTTTCTCTCTCTGTCTTTATGTTGTTGAATACGTGCTTCTTTTTCTCTATTGAGTGTCAATTTTTTTTGTGTATATTTTCTATTCATTGTTAAAGTTGTCATCTTTCTTTTTTTCGTCATACAGGTGTGCGGACATATTTTTAAGAGCGGGTAGAGGTAGTCGATTGTTACAAGCTCTATCTTCGTAGTGTATTTTTCCTTTCTTTCCTATCCTACATGTGATATCTTCGATCGCTATTCTTTTTCGGCTTTAATCTCATGTTAAACTCTAGATATTTCTGATACATATATGAATGTTTTTTATCTTGTTGGTGTGCAGTGTTCATTCAATGGAAATCAAAAGATAAAAAAGCAATCCGAAGAATTTTCTAATAGTAATGAAATATACTACTCAGAAACTGTTTAGGCCTACTTTTATTTTATCGGATCAACCGTATTAAAATGTTGCAATTGAGTCATATATAGAGTAAGCAAACATATATACAGGTAAACAAAGATAAGTCAATCAGCGCGTGAGCCTTCTTTCAGGTGAGAAAAGACAATGATAATGAATCGGTTCGAAATGGTATAGTAATCAACATGGCTAAATATAATCATAAACACAATTACCTATTTTCGTGCGAAATGTCTCCTTGTATCCCTATCCAGCTATAAGAAAGAAAGAAAAAAAAATAAACAATAGAGATAAATTCACATATATACATTCATTTTCATATCCACGCGCTGTCGAGATGTATGAAAGAAGTCGTATGAGAGTATAATATTATCGTGCTCGTAGTTATTAGTTAATCCACATGCTTTTCTTCGAATGTATTAGATAAATGAGTGGTAAATAGTTGGAAATGAATAAATATTCATAGTTCATATTGAAAATTTTATCGTTGTATAATTTAAGGAATAGACGTCCGATGATCTATATTAATAGAAGAGTTTACTTGATACTTATTCCATTCCGGATTTTCATCTTTTTCGAAAAAAATCCATTATTTTTATTCACAACGTTTGTTCAAATTTTTTTTTTGGAATGCGATGCAGTGTAGATATTGCTCTATCTTTTCATGTAATTTTTATTAAAGATTAATTAGTCCTTTATTTAAATATAGTTGTCTATAAACTTTAATTATAGTCTATTTTAATTAGTTATGAAGTCTTTGGAAATAGCGCAATACAAATCTGAAAAATTATGCTGGCAAAAAAGTTTTCAAATGCAACAATTCTTGACACCGAAAGATTATACTACCGTGGAAACAATATTTGCACATCCTGGTATTCAAGAACGTTTAAAAGGTTACAATTATGATCCAGATTTCTATCCAAGATGTTCATGGCTAAATCGAAGTGTACCCAGTCCTCAATCCATATTAGAGACAGTGGCTCTTATGCGTGCTGAAAAACTGAGCGCATCTATTGTACTACCATCATGCGATGAAGCTGCAAACATCGGTAAAACACTTGAACAAATAATTTTCTTCCGTGACTTTGAACTTGGAAGCATCGGAGTGTATGATAATTCCTCACGCGATAATACACGAGAAATTGTACAAGCGATGAATGTACCACTCTTTAAGGCTGAAGAAAAGGGAGCGCAATACAATATACCCGATGAAATACACCATAAAGGTACCAATTTGTGGTTTGGTATTATCGATGCTTTGCGTACTGTCAAAGATCCAACTAAACACATAGTTCTATTTGCTGACACCGATGTGGGATTAAGTGTAATCGAACTTATGCAGCTTCTTCGTGTATTCTCAGAAAAACCAGGTTTAAAACTTGTTTTACCATTTGTAACGCGGCTTACCAAAAGAGGCCAAGAAGATGGCAACCTTACAAGTGGCGGAAGAGCCAGTAAGTTTACTTGGGGACCAATGCGCGACACGCTACTTAGTCTCTATGTACCTGATATAATTGAACATCCAGCACAATTAGCAGGAATATATGGAGCAAATTTGGAATTTTTAGCAAACATAGATATACCACATGGATATGGAGTCGAAACAGCAATACAGACCGAAGCATATATCTCTGCTTATCGTAATGGTCTTACTGCAAATGAAGTTATTCAATTCGTGCCATGCGGTGTTTATTCTCAAACTGGCCAAGGCGATCATGGGATTCGTTTAATGTCGCATGATATTGCACATGAACTCATGAGCCGAGTTAACGCACTGAAAATGCTACAACTAAGTGATATACTTAATGCAAAAGCAGACATATCAAATTCATGCACTTCTGCCATTCTTGAACAATTACAAAGTATGGAATCAAAATCTCTGAGTTCAGAGATTCCTCAATCGTTATCAGAAGCTACACATATTCGAATGAGAAGAAAATTATTGGCAGATCATTTGTGGAAAGTAACCAATGGAAAAGTAGATCGTTTAGATTGTCATATGATTTGCCGAGTAGCTTACTATTTACCACCGCCTGGACAATATCTCAAAGAATTTACAAAAGCAAAGGATTCATGCAGAACAAATGGGTCAGACAAGTAACGAAAAAGTCGACTTTTTCGTTACTTGTTGATTTATGATTACTCGATCTAAGCTGAATCTTTACAGAAAAACCATGATGAACTAAATTAATCCACAAGGATCTATTCGCTTCAGTTTTATATCTATTTTAAATAAAGAATTTTCGAAAGATATTTTGACAAACACACCTCTTCTTGGTTTTCTTATTGCTTCAGTTCACAGGAACAAAATATAGCAAGTTTATTTTATGCACTAGGATAAACTTATAAACATATGTTTGATTCAAATGGTTGAAATCCAAAGATAATGACACATAAAGCTATCGAAATCGAAGATTTCACTATGAAAAATAAACCTAAAGAGAAAATTATAGTCGATTACAAGTGTTTAGTGAATCGTTCAAAATCATACAATGAATCACTTTGTGAAATGGCTCATCCTATTAAGAACAGCGATCAAATTTTTCTGGTGCAGACACTCATCGTCCCATTTCTTTATATATACATACATGAACATATATCACGACTTCATTGAGTTTATTTCACAGGTAGCATTAATCAAAGGGATGCGATGTAAGAGCTTTAACCAACCCATGGTACGTTTATAATAATATACTTATAATATTATCCCTCCGGAGAGGGTGTTTCTCATTACATCAACATCCACAGTGGTCCAAAAGGGTCACTGTAATTTTATCTCTGTATTTACATTTTCCGAAGTCACAAAAATTGTTACATGTTTTTAGTATCCAAATAATCGCCGCGCAACATTCATGCCAACTAAAACGCGAGCTATTTTCTTCTTTTTTCCAATTTCAAATCAACTTGTTCACTTCTGACTCTATTCCAACGAGAAGTGGACAGCAGAGGTAAGAAAAAAGAGGCATAGAGGTTTTGTACGAACTCTTTATGGTCTCTGCACTCTTTAAATTTAATGAGTTTTCGCATTGATTTCCTTTAGCTCATTGAATGAGAAAGTCATATACATTAATTGAATTATCTTTGGACCTATTTACATTCCTCATGTAAGACTTGTCCTACCAAGCGAGGAGATTACTTAAAATTTGTACATGATTCAAGCTATCTAAAACTTGATTACGTTTTTCAAACAGCCCATTCTTTTAGCAGATTGTGACAAGAAGCTAAAGTGAGAAAAAATAAAGTATGAAATCAATTAGACTGTAAGTACCTAGTGCTAAATACAATAAAGACGTCAATCTTCTGTTTTCGCTTCTTTTTTGTCGAACAAATCTGTACTGTTGCTAATTTCATTAGATAATTGAATACAATGAGAAATCATTTACTTTACTAATCATTATAAGTAAACCAAGATGAAATGAATTGAGATGGGTAATTTAAAAAACTCAATCCGTCACTGAGAATGCCCCATCGATTTCAAAGAAAACGTTACAATTCTATGATGTGAATTATCGAATGTGCAAAAAAGATTTGTTCTCTTTGCTGTTGAAGTCTTGCAATGTGCTAGCGGCTAGAGCGCAAAGAGAGATGCAGTAATAGGATCAACCTGACAAAACTGATGTACTTCGCAAGTCTTTACTAAACGAACTATCTTATGAACATTCGAATGTAAGATTCCTTCTACCACATCCATCAATAGATTTATAATAAGGCAAAGCAACCAAGCAAGTTTGTACAACGAACGTGCAATTTCTTCTCGTCAATTTGAAGCAACGAATAAATCACACATCAGAAAACATATTTTATGTTCTTAAACTACTCGTGATCAATGAACTAGTGATAGTCGATGGTTGGACAGAGTTAGAAATCATTCGCTCAAACGAAAGATTACACAGTCTACTTTTTACAACAATCGAGTATGTTCATTCCCCGGAACATGTTCTAAAGAATATCGAGAAAATTTTTGTTTCCGACACCCTACTCTAGTTGACATATATGACATTTAAAATCATGGAAGATCTCATTTTTCAAATAGCTGATGAGCAGACTCGTTGGTATAGAGAAGAGGTATATCAACATGTGAAATTGGAAGAGTTCACCTTAGCCAAATGTGAAGATGGGATGATCAACAATATGTTGCGCGAACTGATGAATTATTTATACCCGATTTTACTTTATCAGAAACATTTTCTTTTAGAAGAACGCATCCACAATCTATCAATTTTTACTGATAAATCATGTAATTTGGCTTATTGAAATCATGATATGTCGAACGAGGAAAGACGTTGAGCAAATTTTTCCATCACTAATTCTGTTCAATGACAAGCAAACATGTTGGTCTAATATAGTAAAGTAGGATTACCATAGGTTTATATCTCTTCTTGTTGATTTCGGTTACGATTCATCAATGGTGGCACATTTTGAAGAGTTAAATCAAGTCAAACATGTATATCGTACGCATGATTTCATTGATATGAGTAAATTATGTTTTTGTTTAACGCATGATTTAATCACAGATTATGAACAGCTTGGTAATTAGTTGACAATGGAAAATAAGAATCAAGATAATCTTTTTTTATATTTTGATTTTCAGTTGTCTTCTCTCGAACAAATTACTTATAACATAATTCATGACTCGGCGACCGAACTCTCTGAAATTTTCTATCATCCTAATAGACGACCTCTATTTGTTACTATTGAGTTTAATTATACGACACTATTTACATTCATTCGTTTATTTAATAATTCTACTCTTGTTCATTTTGCTTTTGCCCATAATTCTGAAAGGAAAAGTCGTAGAGAGTTAACCGATCTCTTAAATTGAAGAAAAATCTCTGTTTTGAAGATTTTGAGATCTGTGTGAGTACATAAAAATGTTTTTAAAAAAATCTATCACTGAAATACTAACACCCACTTTTACGAAATCCAGCGAAAAAGTGATTGTTAGTATTTCGGTTATGATTTTTTGAAAAAACATTTTTATTAGTTCGGACAAATCTCAAAATTTTCAAAACGAATTCCTCTTCAATTAAAGATATCGCTCAACTCTTTATGACTTTTCCTCTCAGAGTTACGATCAAAACAAAATAAGCAAAAATGTAACACTGTTATGCTGCCGTTAGCGTTACATGGATAAGCCGGCTACTCTTCTTGTCTCGAGTATTAATATTTTAGAGTTAACTAATTCACTTGTACATGATCATTTATGTAATATTAATGTATTATATATGTTGCAAACTGGTTGCTCTTTTGTTGAACGGCACTTAGAACCCTTTGGATCCGAAGTTGGTAAGGTGCTTATGCGTGAGAGATTCGAATTCGAACTGCTATTATTTGACATTCGTTACTATAAGGGAATAGTCGAGGAGAATAAAAACGAAAAACAAGCAATGACTGACATAGCTCTCAGCAGCAGCAAACGCTTGTCTCAAGCGTTTGTCAGCTATATTGTTTCACAAATCGAACAATCATATGATTGATTGAGTATTGATAGCAAATGTTAGTAGCACATAGTGGTATACAAGTGCAGACAGTGAAAAAATGGCCATCCTTCTTATAGTAGTTTTTTGTATCATAGAAATTCTAGGGTCTAGAAACGATAATGAGTTCATCTGTGTCTATGTGTTTATCTAAAACATGTCATCTAAGCTACTATTCTTCTTTTATTCACGCATCCTCCATAACCCTGTTAGTTGAGAAAACGCTGTTCTACCGTTAAAACGATGTTTAATGTCACATTGTTTAAACGATGATATATTAACCAAATTACGCGTTTATCACAAAAAACGATTTTGTATGTCATAAAGTAATATTATGTTCTTGTCGTTTAAAATTCGAATTGTAAATCTCATAAATAGTGATTCGTTGACGTTAAAACCATAATTTTTTATTATTTCATCTGTCGTAAACGATTCTTTACTTGAAAAAAATGTTTAATATTCAAGAATCATCTTCGTCTTACTTGTAACTTGACCATTCATCTAATTTTATTAATTTGATGATGGACAATACACGTTCGTTCTTTTTCTCAATATCTCAATACATTCCAATGAGTAGGTCTCAATTTGTTTTCGAAAAAGCATAAGTTAAATCTTTAACAAGTTAAAATATTTATTTAAAGAAATGAAAGTTCGGCATCTATATAACATAAGACATGAGTAGAAGTCTTTTCTACAAACTTTTCTTTTTGCTTTGATATTTGTTCAAAAGACTTCTATTCATGCCTTATGTTTTAAAGATGCATGAACTTTCACTTCTTTAAATAAATATTTTAACTTGTTGAAAATTTAACTTCTACTTTTTCGAAAACAAAATGAAACCTACTCATTAGAATGCGTTTAGATATTACAAAAACCTGACTACACTCTTTCTTCTGACACATCGATCGTTTTTTAAAGTTTTTTTTTCTATACTCTTCGTAGGTAATTAGAAATTTGTCGATCGCTCAAGGGTGATGCGTTTGTCTTACATCTGATAAATATTCTATCGAAATCTTCTCAAGTTTTCGTTATGAATTCTCAAGTCTAGTTAATTCTAATATCTATGGAGAAATATATAATTAGTTACAAAGTTGTGATTTATGATAATCTCGATGAATAATGAAAGAAGAATCTAAATTAGTTTATTAGTATCAGATATATATGTGATAATGAAACTTAGATTTTTAAGAAGAATTAATGAATTGATACCACAAATGAAAAATTCTAGGGGAAAAATACCATAGATAAAATGATGTCAATTTTTTGGTATATTTTATCAAAAGAAAATATTGAACAGCAACACTATTGACGTACTTCTAAAATTTATTCATTGTTGAGACTATTTTTTTTCTCATTCTTTAACAGTCGTCGGTCGTAGATAAAAAATAATTTATTGCTGCAAAAGTTAATAGAGCAGCTAAGTTTTTTATTTGATTACTGTAATCTTTATGACTTACATATTTATCATCTAGTTGTTCTTTTAAGATTTATACTGAAAACGGAAAATATACTCAGCATTATATTCTTTTTATGGTATAAGAGTTAAAAAATTAAAGTTTCTTCGCGTAAGAGTTTCAATCGACGACGAACTCAGTCAAATAACAAGCTCTAAAATGAAATCACT